CATTGAAAAATCGATTATATAATAATTTTTATCGGATATACAATTTAATCGAACATATTCGTTATTATGTAATTGTATTATCCGATTGCATTTAATCGGACATTTTTCTCAGTTACATTTATCGATATAATTTAATACGAGGGGGAAACCGCTCACCAAAATCTTGTACACCAATGCCCACTAATGCCCAGTGGGCACTTTATCTTATTATCTTATTTAATTTTTATAATGCCCCAGCAAGGTTTAATGCCCAAAAATGCCTACACTGAGAAAAATATCCGATTAAATATAATCGGATAATCCAATTACATGATAACAAACGGATATATCCGATTAAATTGTATATCCGATGAAAAATTTGATCGGTTTCTCAATCAAATTTCATCGGTAATTGCATTTCATCGGATAAATTTCATCGGATATATCCATAATTTAATCGGAAAACGTAATCGGAAAAATTAACCATCGGACATACTATTTAATTGGTTTATCCGATGAAAATTTTTCTCACTGCACACTGATTGATAGACACGAGAAAGTCTTTTTCACGCAGTAGTTATTTCGGATTATCGGTTTTAGGATTGTCAATTACAACGTTAATTAACGTTCGATTAACATATATATTGTACCTTGAAATCGTCAAATTTATCATTTTATGAATTAAGATTCAGGTTAACGATTTATAGAAGAAGAAGTGGAGCCGAATGGGCTCAAAATATCGCATTAGCCATTGATAATTTATTACTTACCATTTAGTGGGTCAGGCTTGGAAACCTTTCAAGGTTTAGGTTGAACAGGACCTGACTTCCTCTCCCTTACTCTCTCGCGTGTTTACGGGGGGGAACGATTGATTTAATCGGAGTTTACCGAACCGATCGAAGGGAACTTGTTTTGCGTCTCGAGTTCGTAAACGCGCGCCAAAAGCAGGGCCGAACCGTCACCGTGTCTGTAACGAGCGCGAATTCCTGAATCGGTATGATCCACCGTACATCCGGTTTCTCTGCACGCGAGATGAAATTCCCGGAACCGTGAAACACGCTCGCTTATTAGCAATTGCTGGAAAAGCCGCGTAGCAAAATGTTACGCGCTCCAGTGGAAATAATCGTTTGGCCGCCTTCGTTGTATAATATAATTTTTGTGTAATGTAATTTCAGAGATAGTTTTTTAAAAGATATTTTTTTATGCCGTTACAATCGAGTTACCCAAAGAGTTAC